ATTAATTATTATAAACATTTATTTTGTTTAAAGGTACGCACACATCATCGTGAACCTCAACCATTTACGATACAAAAGAAATTTGGTGAAGTATGTACATTAATTGAAGGATCGATTTGTGTTGAGTGCAATTCTGAAATAATAAACGATGAACACTATAGGTATACAGATTTAATTATAAATATATTATTCGTTCTAAAAAATAATTTTTTTATTTTCTTTTTTTTAGTGTGTTTATGAAATGCAATAAATGTAACTACAAAACTTGTTGTGAACGTGCAATATTTGATCATTGCGTTGGCTGCAATGGTACAAATGGCATAGGAGATGAAATGGAATTGCCACTACCAAATGAAATGCATTGCATTTGCGGTTTTTCCACAGCAATTGGAAATAAAATGGCACATCATTTAGCAACTTGTGGACAAAAATCAGCATATCCAACAGTGGAACTGGCACAAGAAAATACAGTTAAAAGAAATATGTTAGATATGCTTGGATTAGTACGACGCGACGGTGAAGGGTGCAACGATGGCGAAGATTCTGCAACTGCGGCTGCAATAGCAGCAAGTACTAATTTCCAAGATGAATTGCAACAAAGTTTTTCTAATATTGTTGAAAGTGACGAACAGGAGCAGCAAGAGCAACAACAGCAGCAGATCGAAAAACAAGAACCACAAAATGACAATAATCAAACACCAATACAATTTGGTGAAACAGAAGCAACACCAATTATGGAATCTAATCAAGGAACTTTAACAACTAATGATCAAAACTATGCAAATATTGTAGATTCTACTTCTAGTCTTCCCACAACAACTCAATCAACACAATACAATATTGGTTTCGGACAGCCAGAAGTGGAACCACATACTTTAGGTGAACCTGACATTGGTATGCCACTTATAGGTGAACTTCAAGATCCTAATCCGCCAGCAACACCACAATTTTTAGGTGAAGTGCATACACCAATGTTTGACGCTGCCGCTGTTGCCGAACAACAACATTATAATCAAATGATGCAATAAAATTATTGATGCAATACAATTTATATATAAACCAACCACCTTGTAAGAAAACGATTAAAGCAAATATTAAATGCAAATCTAGGACAAAACGTACTTGTGATACGATATTAACATCTGTGGTCACAATAATATATTTTAATATATCCTTGTAATTTGTATTATTTATTATATTATAATTGTAGTCATATGCAATCAAAGAAAAATAACAAACACTGGGTAAATGTTTGAAAAGTGTTTGTTTATATAAAATTTACATTTTGATTTTTTTAATTTTATATTTTTTGTAATACATATATTATATTTTGTGTATATATTGTATTCATTATAATTAATACAATGAAATATTATTGAAATCATGTGTTTATACAAAATTTATGAATTGATTTTTAGAAATTATTTATATAATTAGATATATATTTATATTTTTTAATAAAAATATAATTTTCATTATATTAAATGTTTCATTAGCTTTATAATTTGATATAAAAACATTAATAAAATTGTTTTGTCTTTCAAAATCAAAAACAAAATAAATAGAATTTTTTTAATTTGTTTCTATATACGATTATTATTATTATTATTATTATTATTATTATTATTGTTAGTATACGTTTACTTTTATTACTATACGATTATATTACGGCTACATATTAAAAATAATATTGCTACTATTAACTGGAACATACTTCCTATCTAAGCATTCATTTAAAAATTAAATATTTCCTTAATATAATACCGAAATCGAATGTTTTTATAATTTTTTGTTTTCGTTTTGTATGTTTATAAGAAAATTTACATATATCAACTGATTCCTACAGTCTTAATGTTGTTTTTAAAATTTCAATTTAATGTAGTAATAAAAATAGGCGAGAGGACTTATTATGTTTTTAACCCAAATTTTGAAATTAACATTTTGTTTCAAATATATTTTTTATAATAAAACGTGCAATAAATGCGTTTTAAATTAATTTTTATGTCTATTGCTTGGGTCCAACCTAAGTAATAATGACTTCAGTTGGTAATAAAACAATAGTGATATTCACGATTTTTGGTAAACGACAAACATACATAGTGATAAGCTGGGAACAATTCGAGAAAATATGTTTTGTTGTTTTTGCTTTGCATTATTGCTGTGTTACTCGTTTATCGGGTTTGTGACTTAAAATTGTGAATAACATCTATATAAATATTTTGTCATTTAATACGCTAAAGCTTTATTGTATAGCTATATAGCTCATTTAAATAAAATATTATAAAATATATACATTATCACTTCACTCTATCTAATCAAAATTATTTTTAAGAAGCGAAATTTCGCAGTAAATTATTTTAATTAAAATTATATTATTTTGAGAAATGGAGATACGTAATGCAAAGTTTAAAAAAATTTTAATTTAATATCAATTTGAGTAACTTATACGAATACTTAATACTTTGTTTTATATAATTATTTTTATAATTGACTTTATATAAAAGATAATAATAATAATATATGTAAAGCCAAAATTAGTAATTGTAATATTGCACAAAGATAATAATATATTAAAATAAATTAACATATAATAACAAAATATACCACTAGTAACAAATAAAACGAAAATTGTACAAGAAATATTAAAATATTTGTTTAACATAAGATAAAATATGAACAATTAAAAATATTATATACGCACGTTTTAGCTTAAAATCCTTTTTATGTTAACTAAAATTTGGCGACCAGCTAACTCGGAATCAGAACCACACAGCGCGAAATGTTATTTCGGTGTACGATTGTTTTGTCGCATTTTTGATTTTAATAAGGCAGATAATACTAAGGCAGTATCTAACTCGTTTTGCGTGCCTGGTTCACTGTCAAGTGAAATTTCGACAGCTCGCTCATGGAATCGTGCTAAAACACGCGGTCTATAATCTTTGAAAATTCAAATTGTTAATGTTTTTTATTTGAATGAATTCTTATTTAATTTTATTTTCTAAATTATTACCTACACTCCCCGCAAGTGGATTCCCAGTTAAGCGTAGATTTTCCAATATTGGTAAACAGGCTATATTATCAACTTCTTCCAAATCTTCAATTTGATTACAGCTAACATCTAAATTCACTAACGATAAGAGTTTACGCAAACCAGTTAGTTTTTTCAATCTGTTTTGAGCCAGATTAAGTGTGACCAAATTTCCCAATTCCATGTGCCAATCAATGCACTCCATTATAAGATTAGCGGACAATGATAGCACCTGCAAATGTGACATTTCTGCCAAATTCTGTATTGCACTTATGCGATTTTGTTCAAGTCGCAATTCCTGTAAATTTGGTGTGGTCCGCACGCTGGAATCGATTTGTGTGAGTAAATTACATGTTAAATCTATTTTCGTTACGTTTGACCAAACGCTGCGTTTATCGGTAACAACAGATGTTGATATCGCTCCGTTGCTGTTGCTGTTACTGCTACTCGCAGCTGCCAATTCCTTATGCAAATTATCACAGAGTAACACTTGATTCAAATGTGTTATTGTGGTATTGTGCACACAAATGCTGGCTAGTGTAGGCTTCAAGAGCGCTATATCAATTATATTTTCAGTTGATATGCCATAAAACTTCAATGTTTTTAAATTACGGAATGCATTTAAATTGAAAGATAACGTTTTTGGTATGATATTACTGCGTCCTATAGGCACGTCAACGGTGTTATAGTCATTTTCAAATGAGGTATTATCCTATACAAATTAAAATAATTTATAAATATTAAAAAAGAAAAAATTTTAATAAATAACTAACTTTAACGGGCGTTATTACTAAAATTTCGAGTTGTGTACAAAAATCCAAAACGTGTGAAAAATCAAAAATTCCTCGCTGCTCGATGTTTTCTGGTGGACATGGCAAACTTAAACGCTCACTTATCGCATAAGCCTAAACAATATGTAAATTTATATTGAATTATTATTATAGTTTGTATATATAGATAATTAAGTATACCTCTAAGGCCGATAGATGAAATTCCTTTTTAGAACTTAATAAACTTTCGCCGTTTTCATGAAATAATTTTGCCAAGTCCTGTAGCAAATAAATTATATCGTATTTGTTAAAATCCAGAAACTCAGCCAATACTCTTGGTAATTGTATTCGAAAGAAAACCAGTAGTTCATGCAAATATTTTTCCAACTGCTCTCGACGTTGTTCCAAAAACGCCGGATTTTTATTACCTACAATCTTTATAAGTACAAAATAAAATTAATTGAGTTGTGCTATCATAAAAATAAAATAATAACTCCCAAACTATATATCGACACCCACTGTTAAGTAATGAATAATGGTTTGGTTCAACTAGTCAGTACAACCTTTTATATATATATGAAAACAAAATTCATCGACTTACAACTCAGAGCGGTTGGAAGAAACATGCACAGCCGAAGTTTAGAGCCCATTTAAGTTGGTGAATTCACTTTTAAAGAAATTGAAAGCACCAAATACTTTGGTGTCCTCATTTATAACAATAATGATATCCAAGCATACAAACACTGGTATCCAAGACAGAATTGTGGCAGCAAACAGAAGTTATTCTAAGATAGTCTAAGATATCTTAGACTAATCTAAGATCAAATTTAAGATAGTGACAAGAAGCGCCAAAATACACGCTTACAAGGCAATCGTCCGATTGGTATTAGGCCACGTATAAGAGGACCCGACAATGTGACCGACGACATCAGAAAAATGGGTATTCAAAATTGGAGGTCTAAAACAACATGCAAAGCAGAAATAATAAAGTTGGCTGATGCAGCTGAAGCTCAACCCGAGCTGTAACGCTGGTTATGATCTTCTTTGTCCTACATAACAGATAATTACAATAGTTTATTTTTAAGCGATTCAAAATTTTTTAATATATATTTAAGAAACATTTTAAAATATTACGGTTTCGAATTTGTGTGTCTGAACTACACAAAAAAACTTCATATTTATGTTAGACCATAAACAGTAAAAGAAATGATATATATATATTATTTAAATCATAATGAAGAGAGCTTACAGTTCACAGTTTACCAAGTTCTCATAGTTGGCGATACTTTCAACATACTCCCATAAGTGTAGGGTATATTTTTAAAAACTTCTCTTAAAAGAACCGATACAGAGTACAGAACAGAACAAGGTAAAACTCACGATTTCTATTCACATTCACCAGAGCTAACTGCATTTATTAAGAAAATGAAACTATTCGTAATAGGAAATCCTAAGCAAACTGTGTGAGGTCCACAAAGAATTGCATTTTGTTGTTTTATGCCCCAAATAGCCATAGTTGTTCTTACAGAGTGGGCGAGTTTGGGAACTTCATGCTTATAAATATCAACATACCTTTTTAGGCGGCAATAATTTCTTTGATATTGATATATCATTAACCAGTTTCTCATTTAGTTGGTCGAAATCCTTATACCGTCGTTCCACCATCCACTCTACTTGGCGCACTCGAACTTTAATATCATAATAGGTTACACCAGTTGAAGACTCATTATATTTTGGTATTGTTACTTCAGTATCACCGTTTTGTCGAAAATAACACGACATTTTTAATATTAAAAATGTTTCCTTGAAATTAATTAATTATTAACAAGCTTTACTTTTACATGAAAAAGACACACTTTTACTTTTATATATATATTGAAATATATACTGATATTAAACCAACCTTAAACGAAAATATTTATATTTACAATCTTATTAATAATTATTGCATATTTCTTTCATTAAATAACAAGTAAATTTTCGCCGAATTGTGTAAAAGTTTTCTAAGTTAAGCATTACGTTATGATCAGTTGTTCATTTGACATATATATGTTTACTCATCCATGAACAACACAGTGAACTTCAAACTGTTAGGAATTACGAACGTCAAAATGAGAAACAAGCGATATAACGTCAACAACGTAATTGAACGTAGCAAAAACGTATTTTACGCTTTGTTTATATAGGAGTTACGATATTAATTTTCGTTAAATTTGGTTGTTAAAGTAGAAAAATTTTTTTGTTTAAAAATAACATATTAAATACTAAAATGTGTGATGATTATTGAATGATATTTTCGACTTTTAGTTCCTATAGTTGAGCTTACAAGACGTCGCAGATTTAAGGACGTGTGCGAGTTAGGCTAAGTTGATGCTAAACCAAATGGGAGATTTTATGGGATTTTTTGCACTGCACACATTTTGCCATTTATCAACACGTATCGACACATCAATACATTATCGACACAACTTAGAATTTCCCTCATTTAGAACGCAACTTAGCCTAACTCGCACACGACCTAAAAAAAAAGTGGACTTAACTTGATCTTAATTAATTTTATTATTAATATTTATAAATTTTATAGCTTTATTTATTTATACTCTATCACTAATATGACTCCCTGTCCACAAACTTTTCTTTAACTTAATTTAATTTTAAAATTTAAAATATACTTAATGATTCCAATAATTTAGAAAGATGTATACTTGCTATGGAAAATAAATAAATAACAAAACAAAAAAGAAATACTAAAATATTAATAAATTAGTATTAAAGTTTGTGGTTAATTATTTCATCAAATAATAATTTTTTCATTTATAAGCTAGGGAAGCAACTTGTATGTGAAGTGGTCATATTTAATAACCTAATGATTTCATTACGTAGATTACGAACCCAAGAATATACGCCTGATACAATTTCAAAGGTAAATACAGCCAATTAACCTCGACAGTCCGCTGTTCTTAGGTTAACATGAATTTAATTGGAAGTTTCAGTTTGTTGTGTCCAGTTCGAAAACCGATATCAAAAGTACAAAAACTTAGGAAAATCACCAAGAGGTTAATTAACAGATTTGACAAAAAGTCTTCTGGTGAGTGAACAATGCACCATATTGATGCTGGCTGCGTTAGAAACAATTTTTTAACAGAATGCACATATTTCAATGAGACTGCACATAGAGTAATTTGAAGAAGTTGCTGTTCAGTTTTACGACTTTGTCAAACAAAGCAAATGTGTAAACAACATAAATTATGTTTGTAGTTTTTTTTGTACTAATGGCTTTGATAAAATAATAAGAGTTGTGGTAATGTACTCAAGATATAATTTTCATTAATGCAGATTTCTTGGTCCATTGAAATTTCTTCATAAAATCACAATAGTTTTGTTTTGCCTTATACGGCATTTACACTTATTTTGGTCAAAAATCGAAAATAAGAAGCGAATTACTCATTCTTGCATACAAAATTTCAAGCGCGAATGAGATCCATTTCATTACATTCTGTATGAATGCGTCCCAACGACGTTCGAATGCGTTCCAAATATGTTCCAAATGCAAACGAATACATTGAACATAACCTAAATAAAATGACTCATTCAAAATGCACCATTTTCGGTCAGTGTAAACGCCCTATTACTCAATTGCTTGCTGGACATTATAGTTATAAGATTGTTTACATTTCTTCTTAATCTTTGGCGTTTTGTAATAGCATATTTCAATGCTATGAACATCGTAATTAGAGTGTAGTAAAAGTATTGGTGACAAATTTAAAGCACTCCTTTTTTATATACATAAGCGTGATTAGGTGAATAGGTTGGAAATCCTAATAGATCCGTAGGAATGATCAGATTAGAGTTTTTAAATACAGTTAATGAAGATAAACATAACTTAAGTGTGTCTTTCAACGAATTTTGCGAGATAGATCACACTTTTATGTCTTTAGATAATTTTAAGCGATAGTTCACACTAATAATTCGCCAAGTATATAATATTTATATGATAAAGTCAAAAAAGTCCACTGTAAGCACTCGCAATGGTTCTCAAACTGTTAAGTCAGCTGTTCTCTGCATCAGCTTTTAAAAATATTTTTGTTTACTCTACGATTTGTTGGCAATGTAAAGTTTTTAAGCCTATTTAAATTCATTAAAATTAATTTGCAAATCTACTTCGTTTTGTAAATAATGAAATTATTTAAAGAAATAAAATAAACAATTAGAGAAAATCAATAACAAAAAAATACGCGATGGCGTTTTTAGAAGACTGCATTATAGTGTTCGTTTCACAGGTTGGTGCGAGGCCCGGCATGTTAATCCATAAAGTAATATTTTTAATTTTTTTATATAGGTTCTTTTTTTTGCTGGTGGTTGGATATTTTTTCACAAGCAACTTTTTAAGAATTATGAAATTCGTCACATATCCGTGCAATTAATATTTTCAATTACATTTGCCTTATCCATAACAATGTTTGAGTTGATTATTTTCGAAATTCTGGGTGTGCTGGAATCAAGTTCAAGATATTTTCATTGGCGTTTAGGTTTAACGCTTTTACTACTGATGGTCATAGCAGTTATTCCACTTTATATATTATATTCTGTAATACATAGCATTTCGTTTGGTTAGTTTATTTTTTTTTTTGCTTTATTACAAATATTTAACTTTATGTTAATGTTAATGTAATTAAATATTTTATTCAAATCATTTATTATTTACAGTTTCTGACAAATGGGTGCGAATAATCACTATGATATGTTGGTTCGCGTTTCTTTATGGTCTTTGGAAAATTGGTGATCCATTCCCATTGCTAAGTGTTTCTCATGGCATATTTACAATAGAGCAAGGTGTTTCACGTATAGGCGTGATTGGTGTTACTGTTATGGCCATACTTTCAGGATTTGGTGCAGTTAATTGTCCATATCAAAGCATGACATATTTTATAAAGTAGATAAATTAATTTATTATAATAATTTAGTTTAATTAAATTTAATATGGAATTTAATATTCAGGCCTGTGTCCCAAAGCGATGTCATCAATTTAGAACGACGACTAGCGTTGACCGTGGATATGATAACTGGCAAAAAGAAACGCATTGCATTGGAAATGCATAAACGCAATAAAAGCAATCAAAGTAAACCGCGTATATGGACATTTCTGAGTTCAGCAGTAAATCGTGTAGATATTGGTGGAGAAAGTAAGAAATTTAATGTATTCTTATGATATATATAAGAAATTTATAATTTTATTTACTTAGATATAAATCAGCTACGTATGGAAATATATGGCTTGGAGGAGTTATTACGACAACTGTTTCTAGAAATAAACTCATTAAAAAATATGCAGGAACGGCAAAAATGGTCTCAAACTTTGCAGGGAAAATATTTCAATGTTATTGGACATTTTTTCAGTGTTTATTGTCTTTGGAAAATTTTTATAGTAAGCTGTAAATTTCTTAAATAATTTCATCTCTCTATATAAACTTCCATATAAATTTAGTGTACTGTAAATATAATTTTTGATCGCGTCGGTAGAAAAGATCCAGTAACACGTGGCCTCGAGATAGCAGTACATTGGTGTGGTTTTGATATCGATTTGGCATTTTGGAATCAGCATATATCTTTTCTACTTGTTGGCTGTATTGTTGTTACATCCATACGTGGCCTTTTGCTTACTTTAACAAAGGTAATTTTTATTGTAGCTCATAAAAAGGAAATACCATCAATGATGTACACGAGTGGGTGGGTAAGAAGTTGGAGCAAATATCCACAAAAAATTTCTAACCATTTTTTAGTTGACATAATATGTTTTTCTTTTAATGATGTTTTCATAAAAACTGAATTAGTTTTTAAAAACTCCTTTTAAACAGCTATTAGCTGTGGTACGTATTTTATTTTTTCTGAGTATATGGTACAAAAATAGCTCTTAGGTATGAATTGGGCGGTTGAAGAAGCTCAAGCTCCACTAAAATCAATCAACCTAGGATTGATAGATTTATATATTTTTCTTTTTTTTGTTTATTTAAATTGGGTTAATCTTAGTTATCGATATATATATACCCTTATACAACTATCACAATATTGGTACACATACTTAATATTGTCTAAAAATACAATGCGCCAGAAAACAAGACTGAAGGAGAATGAAGCAAGAAAGGGGTTAGAGAAAGTTAAAAAAGAGGCAAGAAAGAAGCAGAAGAGGTGTGTGAGAAGCGAGGGAAACACATTAGAGACCTGTAAAAGGCGAAAAAAATAGGCGAGAAAAAATAGGCGAGAATTTCTGATCGTGTCTTTCTGACACGAAAATGAGGCAACAGAGATTTGACAGAGACCCGAGACGAAGGTGAAAGAAATGATAGAGAGAGACGAAAATGGGCATGTGTACCAAAACGATATTATAGTTCAAAAAATAGTCGAGAATGAGGCAAGAAAGACACAAAAATGAGGCGAGAGAGATTTGACAGAGACCCGAGAGGAATGTGAAAGAAATGATAGAGTGAGTCGAAAATGAGCATGTGTACCAAAACGATATTATATATCATACTACAGACTTTATTTTTATATTAAATATTTGATGATCGGACTACACTGTGTGTCACTAAATTCTCTTTTTTAATTTTTAATGAGTCTGAGGTAATAATGGTTTAAAATTTAAAAACATGTTTTAAAGGATTAATAATAAGCATTTTTGCCTTAGACAAATTTTCCTGAAGTCGCTTCAATTAAGCTATAATCATCTAAAATAAACTTGCTTTTTTTAAATAAATGCTTATAATTAAATATCTGTTTAGTTTTTTTACAGAATATCATCCAGTAAATCATCAAATATTATCGTTTTAATATTAGCACAAATTATGGGCATGTATTTTTGCTCATCAGTACTTTTGATGCGAATGAATATGCCTGCAGAATATCGTGTGATTATTACTGAAGTACTTGGTAGTTTGCATTTCAATTTTTATCATCGTTGGTTTGATGTGATATTTTTAGTGAGCGCCATAACAACAATTCTGGTATTGTATGTATCTCAAAAACCAGGAAACTATGATTCCACTATAGACTAATAGCTAATTAATGTATATAATTAAATTATTAATTATTT